GGGGGTGTTGATGTCTTTGCTGGTCTCCCTGTCATTCAGCACTTCAGTTTTCCCCTCGGTTTGTTTGCTGTTGCTGTTTGTGGGCAAAGCTGCTTAAACTTCTCAGAAAGTCCACCGACAGGAAGGAGAGAATACATCTTGTGCGCCTGGTCGCATCCTTCTGTGGTCACGTTTTTAGAAACCTTTCTGAAGTGCTGAGCCCGTAAGTTGTTTCGTGCCGTGGGTTTCACGCCCGAGTGATTCCAGCCGTCCTCGATTTTGTCGGGTTTTGCGTTGGTTGCATTAGTGGCTTGTGTCACACCGTGGCTCTCCCAGGCACACAAAAAAATGCGTCTGTCTCACTCCAGCGGCTTCAGAAAGCCTTCATTTACATTGGGGGTTTCGGGACCTTCTAAGAGAACGGATGCAGGTGAGTGGATGGCGCAGTGACTCCTTGGCGTGAAGGCATCCGTGCTTTTAAATGGGGTGACACAGGGGAGCTGAGGACAAGGGAGGGGGGCATGGGATCGGAGTCCTGTGTGTGTGACCGGCTCAGCCTCTGACAGGCAGAGCCGGCGGAGCTGTGAGCAGCTGTCCTCGGGTGCCTCCTGTGGGAATTTGTGGGTCCTGCACAGAGATACCCCGGCCAGCATCGGCACCCCCTGTCCCTCTGCAGGAATCCTCCCCGACAAAAGGACAGGTGCCAAGGAATATGCAGGCATCTGCCGGCACCTTCCTCTCAGGTTACGCTGCAGACTCGCGTCCTGGTAGAATTTCTCTCGGCTGTTCTGCGTGTTGATTGAAACACGGTGCCTTCTCAGTGAAGTCACGTGCATCACAGGTGGCTCAGTGGAAATGGGAGGGCAAGTTGAAAATTAAAGTTGTTACAGTGAAGATATGCTTTAAAAGTATCAAGGAAAACCCTTTACATAAAATTCTGCCGCTTTGCTGTTATATAAACAGCTCTGAAGGGCTGTGCTGTATCGTTTTGTTTTCTGGTTAACTGTGGACCATTGTTCCTCTGTCTCTGTCCTTCCTTTCACCCCCCACTCAGGTTATTTGGGGGCTCGGTCGAAATGGACCCTGTAATCCACCTAGAGAAGTTTTCACACCCGGTCTGAGGACCCCAGACACACCGCAGGCCGTGGGGTGCATTGCCAGGGCCTCTGCCTGAATGTTTGGGCCAGTGACCCGTGGGTGGCTGTGGTCTGTGTGGTTGTCATGCTGTCTGACCCGGGCAGCTCATGGGCTCGGTCACGGTTTCTTTACGTTAAGAAGTCACGCTTGACAGAGGGCCCCAGCTTCACTAATTAAAACGTAAAAAATTATACCTCTTAGGCCCAAAGGACGAGAGCTGTTTCATTAATATTTCA